CTATATATATATATATATATATATATATATATATATATATATATATATATATATATATATTTATGACGTACATATTTTTATAAAATGACACCTGAGCCTTGTAGTTAACTTATTAATAGGATTTGAAATGTTCGCTACACTGCTAGAAGAAACTAACCGTTCTTTCTTGCCAAAACTGTGAGAGTGAATTTCTTTCGTGACAAAAATTCTTAGTGGCAGATAACGCTTGGTGAGTTGATTTGCATAGTTAAATGTATATTGAACTTTCTGCAAACAATAATCAATTTTATTACATTGCATTCAAGCACCAACAATATAAATGAAATCATCCACTTCATACTGATGTAATTAGCAGTTGAGAAAACATTTCTTTTTCATAATACAAATAAATTTGCAGACTGTTACGAGAAATAATCCGTGATGGTGCAAAGAAAGTATCAGCTGCAGGTAATCCAAAGAATTCTAATACATCATACTGGTCACGATATACAATGCTGGTAGATTTGGATGCGGAAAATAAATTATTGGATAAAATAAGTTCTGCTGGTGATTCGTGAATATGATTGCATTGAAATTTGCGAGTAATAGGTACCATGTAATTGTGAGAGAAAAAGCGTACTAGAAATATCTCCTGAGAATTTTCTATTTAATTTTTATGAGATTGCCGCGATGTTCATTCATAAATTATACACATTGCTATGCAATATTGCTTCATCATCGAGTACCACTTTTTAGTTGACTGTAATTGACTGAAATTGCTGTCAATCTCATACATTCGTGAAGTGCTTCTCATATTCGACGAAATGTTGTGCGTCATATCTCGACAAATTACCATTCATTTGCTTTGAAAATGTATTTAAATCTTCTGAAACATTTTGTTTATCATTCGTTTTCAACTTCACGAATATTTTTCTTCTAGCTTTCATTCAATTTCAGTTTAATTACTTTTTTTTATTAATTACTTTCACCTAAGTGAAAGTAATTAGTTGAGAATTAGAAAAAATAAATAAATCTAACTTCGAAATTTTCTTTGTCATAAAATGTAGATAAATATCTGCTATCCTCTAAGCACCAAAGTGTCATGATTTCATAACGTTTCTCTCGGTAGATTTTTCCTTTGACTGAATCGTCTTAGCAATTAAATTTTTAATGTCTACTAAATGATGCGCTGCTATTCTTGGGAAGGGTTACTTTTTGAAAACTCGATTAGACATAAGTCATCCAGGATTTCAGGATTTGTTGGGAATGGATTTGCAGAAGATGTCTGATACGGATAAGGTGATACTTTGTAAGCGTTACTTTTACATTGGTTTTGCCTTGTTACCGCTAGTTTGGATCGTCAATGCTGTGTGGTTTTTCGAGTGCGCATTCCTCGATAAACCATCGCCGGTGCAAAAAACGATTAGACGTTGTAAGTTTTTTATTTAATATTTAATGCATTCTATTGAAAAAGGGACATGCGTAACAAATTTTGATAATTATATATTGGAATATCTAATTTGTGAAATAGAAGAGATTGTTCATATGACACATGAAATACTGTATGTTGAATGTATCCAGGATTTAAATGTAAGCGAAATATTTTTCTAGCAGAGAGAATAAGATGAGGAGAAAGAAACAAGGTGGTTGAGAAAATTAGAAATTATTATTCGGTAGATATTTTTAGTAGCAATTTTAAATCCTAACTATTCTGATTCTAAAATTAAACAGATTCAAGAGTAAGCTACATTTCTCATTCATTTTTGATTATTGGAGAATTAATCATTCCGATAGAGTACTTATGGTTCACTAGGATATGATTCATTAACTGAAGGTTGGCGTTATGAAAAAAGAAAATGTATCTGATTGTATTTAAATTCAAGTTTATTATCTCTTCTTTAGATGTGGTGTATTCAATAATTGGTGCATCAGTATGGGTGTTAGCGCTTATTGCCTGGGAAATATTCTTTCAGTTGGAAAGAGCCAAAGGCTTAGAATGGACTGATCGATTGTCTTTCGTATTTCCTGTTGGATATGTTTGAAAAAGGTGTATCAGATTGTGTTATTTAATATATTTATTGTTATTTAATGTATTTATTTTTCATTTTGTTAATCATCTGTTTATCTTTTTATTGTGTTGAAGCAAACTTCATGATTTAATAGTTCCATTCCTTTTTTTCTTTTGTAACTGCGAAAATATTTGTTTGGTGTATCTTTGTAAATGCTTAGCAAATATCTGTAAAAAACACACGACCAAAGCCGAACTTCTTTGCTATAATCACTGGTAGAAAAATGTTCAAATGTAAATTTTTTCTCCGTGTTCTTTCATTCCATTACGAGAAATAACAATCTTTGACCTTTGATTAACGACACTTATAAACCCTCTCGTTATATCGGGAAGCCCTTCTAAATGATTAAATTTTGAAAGACCGAACAAACTGACAAGTAAAAAATTTTGAATAATAATAATAAATATGCTTTGTTTAAAATAAGAAATTTTTCAATAACATCGATCATATTGTTGTTATTCTTTTCTAATATTTCATTTCGGGCTACTCCTATACCTTTTGTTCTTATGCTTCAATTTATTATTCTACTGTACTTTTTTAAATGAAAAATTGGTCCAATAAATTGCTCTGGCACACTAAACAAGTTGGTATTTTTATTTCAAACATTACCATTTTCTAGCATTATTTCCAGTACTTTTGATAATATTTCATCAAGGTGGATTAAATTTTATCAGTTTAATATTTGTTACAAATTATCTTTAAGCTATTTTTGACATCAGTGCTATTGCAAGCGACAAATTCGAATTATCAGTGTAATGCAGTGTATAGAA